ATCTTTTCATTAATTTTTTTGTATAACCTTTGCTAAATCGCCACCATGAACAACAGTGGGCGGTTGATAATTTATACCAACTTTGAATCCTGTCGGACACCTATAATAAATTGTTAATAAATTTCAAAAAGGAAAATGAATTATACATCGTTAATTAATACTAAATAGAAAGTTTTAATTTCAAAAAAGATATGAATAAATTATGAAAAAAAAAGGAACGAAAATACCAATCAACAAATTGAATACCACGTTTTGTTTTAACCATTGAAATTGCAGCATTTACATCTTTCGGTACGACATCACCGCGATATAGCAAACATACCGCCTATTTTACACACATAAATTTATAGTTATTTCTAATAAATTAATAAACTTTAGCTAATTAATTATGAATTGTTTGAAAAATGCCTATTCTTTTCAGTTAAATTTTTTTTTTTGAAGAATTAAATTAGCAGATATTCTTTGTTAAATTTTTTTTAATTAGAAAATATAGCGATAATATTGACGATTATTCATATTAAGACATTATTAAAGCAAACTATCCCAAAAATATATTGGATAAAATTTAAAATATGAAATACTCACTTGTAAATACATCATTAATTCAATTTTTTTTACATACATGATTCAATTAATAATTCAGGGTGGAATTTTTTTAATTTTAGAATTTAATAATTTTAATTGATGAATAAATTACATAATTGAAAATATATATCGTATGTTTTCTCATATCAAAAAATTATTAATAATGAATCATTCCAAGAAAACATTTTATCAAAACTGAAAATCTGAAATATTTAATTTTTAGTTTTTTAATAGTATATGATCATTAATTATCAAATTTTATCACTGATTATCAAATTTAATTATCAAATATTAACAATTGTTCAATTTTATATCATTATTTCAACTATTTCTTTATGCATCATTTAGTTTTTCATCAACTTTGGGTGAAATTTTTTAAATTTAAGAAATTGATAGGAAAAAGCATATGATAACACTATTAATTATCAGTTAGTTTCAATTGATGAATAAATTGTATGGTTTAGAAAAAATATATACCATATATTTTCCATGTCTTGGATCGCATTTTACCATTTGATTATGCGGTTCAAAGCATGCTGTTGTAATATCAGCTACACTAAGCTGCTCGTGATAAGCTTTCTCGGATGATATCACAGGCGCATATGTTGCTAAGGGAAAATGTATCCTTGGATATGGTACCAAATTGGTCTATGGGAATACATTCAAATTTTAATTCAAAGAAATTAAATGAATTTTTCAGTAATTATTTTGCATTCTTAAAAGAATAATTAAGGAAAAAACTATGTATTGTTTGAGCACTTTAATACATTTTTGTTTGTTTTTTTTTCTATTAATTTTTTGTTAAATCTATATTATGTTAAAATATATATGTATATATTACGTTATTGAAATTAAATATATATTATGCTACAGAAATTAAAATGTACCATTTACGCTTCATTATCAAGTATAAATTTACCAAATGTATAGCATAAAATCAATTTATGATTATTAATAGGAAATCAAAGGTGTTTTTTTGTTTTTAAATCTTTTCGACATATTTAAAAACTAAGAAGAAGGAGGGTGAAACGGTTTGTTGCCTATTTTATTAAAAATAAATTTTAATTTTACCAAAAAATAAGAAAAATTATGAAAAGGAAAAACCTGAAATTCGGTCAAATCAACATTTAATGCACCATCGAAACGTAACGATGCGGTAATTGATGATACAATTTGTGCAATAAGCCGATTTAAATTAACATATGATGGCCTCTAAAATTTCGCTTTCTCTGATATTTCATTTTCAATTTTTTAAGTAATTGAGGTAAAAATTTCGATCATCGATAGTTAAGATGTAATGTTTGTTTTAAATTTAACGAGTTTCCAGATTTCCAGGTGTTTTTGCGAATTTTTTCTCTTCGAACAAACAATTAAGAATATTTTTGTTAAGAATTAAGAATAGTAAAAAAAAGAAAATAATTGGTAAACAAAGTTATGATCATCTTTCCTTTGAAAAATTTTGCATTTTTTTTTTGGTTTTTTTAAATTTTTCAAAATTTTTGTTTTTTAGTAACTTAATTGTTCACTCAATTATTATATGCTATATTAGTAACAAATATTCGATTATAAAAAGTAAAAAGATGTATTTTTACATTCTATTATTGTTATATGATTAATTATCTGATTAACAATTGGTGTTATTATAATATCAAACTTCAATGTCGAGATTTCGACGACAAATATCATAAATAGCTTCATTGTCAACCATAAATGAACAATCTGAATGTTCTAATGTTGTATGAGTGGTTAAAATTGAGTTGTATGGTTCGACAACAGCTGTCGATACCTGAGGTGCTGGATAGATGCTGAAATAAACCGATAATATCAATTGATTTAATTAATTCATTAATAAATTAGATAAAATGATAAAGCAAATTTTTAGCAGAATGACAATCAAATGCCATTTATAGTATATGCAACAAATTTTAATTAGTCAAATCAATTAATTTGATTTAATCAATCAATTGTTATATATAATTGATAGGTAATCAGTGTAGCAAACAGGGCAAATTGGAACTAAACTGTTAAACTTCATTAATTATTTATGTTTAGATTATTAATTATTTATGTTTAGATAATATTTCCGTACTTGAAAATTATTGGAAAAACGGCGCAGTATCTGATTTCACAATTTCTTATCATCAATCTGATTTTCTAACTCCCTATCATCAATCTGACTTATCAATCTCTTATCACCACCTAAAATATTAACAATAAATTGATGGTTATAAGTGAAAGGTTTATAAAAATTTCGTGTTACCTAAATTCAAGTTTTGATTTTTTACCATATTCAACGGAAAGTCGCTCCATTAACAGCGATGAAAATCCGGATCCGGTACCACCACCAAAACTATGAAACACCAAGAAACCTTGTAATCCCATGCATTGTTCCGTCTGAAAACACGATAAATTATCATGAACCATAATGGATCAAATTGAAATTAAATTTCCGATCCGGACAAAATATGGCAATGAATTATGAACCTGTTTTCGAATTTTTTCCAATACCACATCGATATGCTCTTTACCGATTGTATAATGGCCACGCGCATAATTATTGGCCGCATCTTCTTTGCCACTAATTAATTGTTCTGGATGGAAAAGTTGCTTAAATGGGCCACAACGGATTTCATCTACAAACACATCATTACTAATAACGATAAAATGATATAATTAGACATGATCAAATCAAAATCGGTTATTGATTTCAATGGCTTAATCAATGAATAGATTTGAAATAACTTATTTAAATTTAAAACAAAAAAACTATAATGAATAGAGATTAATAAATTGATACACCATATCTCGCAATAAAAAAAGATGGAATATTCTTAATTTCAAATCATTTGCTAAAAAAAAATGTAATTCCTCAAGAATTCAATTGCAATCACTTAATGGAATAAAATATTTGAACATATGAATGCAGTTATAATCATCTGCTTGTCATTTCAAAATTTGAAATTTTGCTCAAATTAAAATATGGCATTGAAACATGGTAAAATTAAAATTCCAAAATTGCTCAATAACTGAAATTCAAAATTTATTCCGTTCTTTTTTTTGGTTTGGCATTTAAAAATTGATGAGATAAACATTAAATTAAAAAGTATGAAAAAAATACAGTAAATCATTGCAATTGAAATTATATTCAAATTTAAACAAATCATTGGACTTTAAATAAAATTCGGCAAGAAATAAAATCAATTTCTTTCATTTCATTTCAATACTTGATGAAATAATTTAACAAGAAGGGGTATTATATACAACTTGCATATAATACCGCTATTGTTTTATGAAGAGATAAAATATTAATTTTAATTAAAAAAATAGAAAAGAATCAAATATTTGTAAAAAGAAGAAAAGTGAAATGAAATTGAAATTGAAATTGAAATAATTTACCTAGTACAGTTGGCTCTAAATCAATATAAATAGCGCGAGGAACATATTTGCCACCGGATGATTCCGAGAAGAATGTTGTAATTGACTGGAAATGTTTCGGCTAATTTTTTTTCTCAGAATTTACAATACTTAATATTAATAAATCATATCATAAAAGCATTTAATTTTCTGATATAATGAAAAAATTAAATTTTAGATTCATCAAAATATTTAAAAAGTGAAAAAAATGTAAAAGGATTAATAATTGATTAAGTATTAATTTAAGTATTTTGCATTGATTTTTATTGAATATTAGTATCTATATTAGTATCTGTTGGTATCGTTAATTTAATATTAATAAGTATATTACGTCGATTTAATATCAATATTTACATGCATATCACATTAATTTAATATTCGCAAATAAATATTCAATATTCATATTTCTGTTGATCCAGCAATTTAACTTTAATTAACTAAATATGACTGATTAAAATATACAGACATTGATTGAATGTTGAAAGTATTAATTAACAGGTAAAAATATTAGAAAACGAAAAAAAGAAATTATTTTATCTCAACCAAACAGAATAAACTTTGTTAATTTGTTAATTTTACATGTTAAATCTAAATTAAAATTTGAAATTCTTTAATAGTGTAATTTTTTTCACAACATGATGATTCGTAAAAATCAAAGCTAATACAGTAATGTGAAAATTAGCAAAGATTTTAAGTTAAATTTGCAATATAATAATTAGTGAAAATTAAAAATGCGACATTCACACCTGATTTTCCGGTTTTTGATTCTGAATTCCGGATTCGTTTCCTTCACTTGCAATTTTTCCATCTTTTCCAATATTGTGCTCTAAGCAATACAATTCCCAACATGCATTTCCGATTTGGGCTCCTGCTTGTCCGATATGTATAGAAATGCATTCACGCTAAAAGCATATACTTTTATCTAATTAATGAAATGCACGGATAATTGTTGACTAATTAAATTAATTAGCAGTTAGCAAACGAATAGTTTGTTAACCAAGTTAACTAACCAGGTAAAGTAACAGCTAATTAAATAAAGCAAGTATTTCAATTTTGTTCATTATAGTACATAACAAATTACTGTATAAAAAACAAATGATTTAAAATTCATTTTAATATTTATGAAAAAAAAAATCATTTTAATAATTCATTTTAGTAATTCGGTTGCGATAACACATTGAGTTTTTCACGGAATGATATATATAATTGGATTATGATTATTTAATTTTTCTCAGAATGGTATATATACTTAATTAACTATCACCTTACTTAACTAGTTAATAAAAAAACATTCCTCTATTTAATTAAACAAAATGTTAAGGACCTTTTTTCGCAGCCCGTAGTTTTTCAGATATATATCATATTCCATTAAAAAAAAAATAGTTCTATGCATTTTCTTATTGTAATGAATTATTTAAATCGATTACGGATAAAGATTGTAAAATTTAAATTTACACTTCCTAAAACTAAATCTTTTAGCACATTCCATTAATATAATTTGAAGAAAAAAAAGCTAATTTTCAAAATTTATAACAAAAACAAAAAAAAAAAAGAAGAGTATAAAAATTACCCCTTCACAAGGCATCGTTGTTAATTTGCTATATTTGTTATATGTATATATAACGTAACGTAGGATAATATGACGAATGTAAGGTAATATTTTAAAAATCCAATTAGAACTGTAAAAAAAAAAATTTGTTTTAACATTTAGGAAATAAATTGTTATTTAATAATTTAATACAAATAAATGATGATTGAACAAGAAAATATTTATACCTACAGAGATTAACTCATGCCATTTATTTACTCTTCTATTCAAAGTAAAAAAAAAAATTTTTATCAGCCTCACATATTTTTTTCCACTCTAAAATATTTTCAAAATTGATCCTCCGCTATCTTTGTTTCACAACAAAAATTTTCTATCATTTTCATTTAATTAAATAAAATATGCAAAATTTCGTTCAAGGTCTTTTGTTGTAATTCCGTAACGAATAAACTACTTCATCAGTTGAAATGATGAAAGAGCTCAGAATAACGATGAAATTAAAGAAGGAGAGAGAAAAAGAGAGAGAAAAAGAGAGAGAGAGAGAGAGAGAATAGGTTAAACAAGGTCAACAACAAATTGACGGTTTAAAAAAAAAATTTTTTTTTTCCTATTATATCACATATTTTTACTATTTTTACAAAAAAATCTCAGATATTTTCAGTTAATTTCGCTTTCTTTTTTTCTTCATTTTTTTTTTTCAAAAATTTTGTGATGGAATTTTATTAGAAGGCTATGAATGAGAAGAAGAAATTTGTTGAAATGATTTTTGTATGCGAAAAAGAATGGCGATAATAAAATTTGAGTGGATCATATCTGAAATTATTGTCACTGTATCTGATTATTTCCGATGAAACTATTTTTTTTTTTTCGCATTCGATTTTTCTTCTTTTTGACCTTCAATTTCATCTTTAAGATGAAAAATGTAGAATATCACTTCTTCCTCTTTTTGTTTTTTTTTTTTTTTAAAATTTCCTATTTGATATAATGAATGGTGAAATAATCGTCTATTCAATGTTAGAATGATTAGTCGTATTAAAAAAATCCTGGTAACATATAAATTTTATAAATATTTAATTTAATAATGCTGCAAATAGGTGCAAAAAAATGCAAAAAAAAGAAATTTTATGCAATTTGGCTACTTATTGATACAGCGGAAGCTTTTTTTTTTTGTCTTTTTCTCCTAAATTATTTATCCAAATTTATTATTTTACATTTTCATTCGACATCATACTGATGTGCTAAGCTATCGTAGTGGAAGAGAAAGAGAAGTATACGGTAATTTATCGTAAACAAAGAGATACTGTAACGGAAGAAGTACGATAATCGGTGTAACGGAAAGGAAGAAAGAAAAATATATGATAACCTATTGTATAAGAAAAAAAATTCAAAGTTTTGAAAAGCAGCAAACATACGTTTCCTCTATGATACATCGTCAATGCAGTAATCGATGATATTATTTCAATAAACAATGAATAAAGTTTTAAATTTCAGTTAAGCATGAAAATCAGATAATACAGTATGTTATCAATTAACAACGAGTAATCATTAAAAATCACGATTATTGCAAAATTTAGCACGGAAAATTATTTTAAAAATGAAAAGAAAAAGCGTTATTTCTAGAAGATAAAATAATGAGAAGAAAGCACTCTTACCATGCAATAATAGTAAATCATTTAAATTCAATTTTTTTCAAATTAGTTTCGTCGATAAATTATCAACTATAAAAATTATAGCACTTAAAAATGAAAGTTTTTGTTGCTGTAATCTTGTTTATCGTGATTAACATATGCATCATAATACTCAAGTTTGGTCCATGAACAAATTCAAGCAATTTAATCTATAAGTAAAGTCAATTAAATGCCATAAGTATATTTCAAGTAATACGGAAATATGATACAATTTTTTGGTAATTATGCAGTAAAGGTATGTTTTGATATACCTCTGCAGTTAGAAATTAACAGATAATTAAAAAAATAAATAAATTGCACAGATTTATAAATACCTATCCAACTGATCAAATTCTGAACTTTACTATGATGAATTTAGTTAAGACTAATTGAAGTTAAGTTTGATTCATGAACAAATTCAGACAATTTGATCTATAAGTAAGAGCAATTAAATGCTCTTAGTACATTTTAAATAAGTCTTCCAAAAAGAAAGACAAAGAAATATTTTTAATTTGAGAGAATCATTTGAGACTAAAATCGAAGTAAAATTTAATTGAAAAAAGCAATAAGATTGAATATGAATGAGCATTATTATTCAATGATACTAAAAATTAATTAGTAAAACTTTTGCATCAATCGTATCATTCTAATCAGTATTGAGATTATTTGTTATCAAATGTTAGTAATGTACAAATATCCTTCTGTTCACTAAAATTTATTTTTATCAAACAATTTGATAACTAAAAACAAATAGCAGAAATGAAACAGCTATTTGTTCTTTTTGATTGCAGACGAAATTTGTAGTTTATGAATCTATCAATGATGACCTTTAATCATTTAAATGTGGATGACCCTTATCGCGGTCACCACGCATTTCAATGCAGTAAAATTTAACAAAATGAATTTTATTATATGTATCGTAATTATTATCTATTTTAAGTGCTTATTTTGAACACATATGGAGCTTCGTTCTGATTTTTAGAAAAAAAGAAATTTGTTTTAATAACGATCTGCAATTTCAACATTTTGAATAATCATTAGATTTATTAATGAAATTCTTTAAATAATCTTATTATTTTTGTAATTTTTAAATTTTTATATTTTCAAAACATTTATAGCAAAATATTTATGATAAAGGAAAAGGAAAAAGCTATAAATCGGAAATTGTCGATTTTCCAAATACATTTTCTATCATAAGCTATTTCGCATGTTCTAAAATTCGCTTTTCTTGAAAATTTAATTCAAATTATTTTCGATTTTGACTGAAATGCAATATTTATTCCATTAGGAATAAAACCTGTCTTATCAGTCTGTTTGTTGTTTGTTATTTTTGTGGTTATTTTCAAGATTCTTGCAATTCGTAATTTGTAATTTCTTAATTAAAAAATTTTAATTCCGTTAGAAATTATTCCATAAAACTTTTGATTATCTAAAAAAAATTAGCCACTTAAAACTCTCGAATAGCCAGGAGCACTCAGTTCCATAAGGAATTGTATGCTAATTGCTTAAAATTTAGATTTTGGCTGGAAATTTTTGCTGTGATCTCTCATAGAGCTATAAATTATTGGTGCTTACATATTGCAATAATCTTTCAGTATGTTAGATTGTTATGAGAAGAAATTTTGCAATAAGTTAACATGTTTTAAATTTATATATTATCAGCACTGTAAAAGGTGTGCTGAAAATTTTGAATAATTTTTTTGGAGAATTTATTTTCATCAATTCATTAATTTTCGATTTGATTTTGATGTATGCGTTGAAAAGAACATTATCGCTTGCATAGTAATTTTCGCAATTTTTTTCAAGGAAAAAGCTAAAATACCCTCACAAATACTAATTATTATTTGATTTAATTTTTAGCATTTGTTAAATGTAATTAAAATTTGAATGTGACAGATAATTGCACCTTTTAATTGGATGGCAGTATACAGAAAGTAATTGTTGAGTTTTTTTAGAAAGTAAACGATATATAATTTGATCAATTATTCGTTTTAATTAATGCTTTTTTTCATCTTCTTGTCAGTTTTTGATTCAAAAAGATTTTAATAAAATTATTGTTGCTTATTAGCATTTTATGCAATTTATTTTCAAACTTTTTTCAAGTTATTTTTTGTTTCAATTATTTTTGCATCATTTTTCATTTCATTTCATTTATCCTTTTGGCCATTTTTGATTTTAATTATCATCAGGCTGCTCTTGATTTCAATTATTTGCAGCCATTTCAATTATCTTCTGGCCATTTCCTACTTCATATTTTTTTGAAATTGTTTGAAATGTTTTATTATAAATTAGAAATGGATTTTTATTGA